AGTGAATAAAGGCAGGGGTGGTACATGTATTTGTTGGAAACCAAACTATTCAGAATCCAGGAAATGAAAACGCAAGTGATATTGTGTCACAATTCAACAATGCAGAATTTATTTCTCCATTTCTGTTCAGTGCACTGTTTTAAGAACCGTGTACGTTGGCATTAATCAAGCTCTAAATTCAGTGACACAGGCTTTTCCTGCAAGTTGTCGTGTGTACATGTAGGTTTTCTCACACATTGAGCTCTGTGTACCGTCCATGGGAACAAGTACTCATTCAGAAAGGGAGTAGTGAAGAAAATAATCATTTTATAAATATGCAATATTTTTAGAAAATATTCAGTGCAAAAATGGCAAATGGAAAACATAATCTCATGCTACGAATCAGCTACGACAAACCTCTGGTGCCCGTATAAACCTCCTCTCACTCTGTACTGTCTGGCCGAGGGTCGGCGAGTGCTTTTCCAGGACAGTGGGTCTCCTCTTGATAAGCCGGCCCTTCTGGATGTGCGGCTGGCTTCTGCTTCGCTGCAGCTGGACGGTGCAGCGCTGCGGCGACGGTGAACCGGCGCTGACTGTCCTGCGATGCCCCTTCCACTGGGCCGGAGCTGCTGCTGTCTGGCCTTCTGGTCAGCTGTCTGGGTGATGGCCAGGTCGTCCTGGCTGACATGGTAGTCCTGCTTGCAAATGGTCTCGATCAGCGGCATTTGGACCTCTTTGCGGCTCTCCTTGCGCAGCAGGTGCAGCCACTCCTCGCGCCGCTCCCAGGTCGAGGTGTTGAACTTGTAGATCTGGCTGGTCTGGTCCTTGAAGGCAATCTGGAAGCTGAACTCCCCAACGGGGGCGATTTTGCCACCCCGGATGTTAAAGAATCCCCGGGGCTTCTTGTGCGCTTTGTCCGTGTACCACACGATAAAGGGGCTGGAATCGTTGGTGTACAGGCACGCATAGATGATCTTGGGTTTCTTCTTGTTCCGACGCCAGGGTTCATGGACTGACAGCTGCCCCTGGAGTATCATGGTACTCATCTGGGAGCTGGTAAAGAGTGCATGCATATCCACTTGTGGCCGAGGTGGCCCCGAGCCACGCTTTAGTAATCTCATTAGGAAGTTGGAAGTCATGGTTTTTGCAACCGAGAGACAAGCTGCAAGCCCGTCTGAATCAGCAGAAGATGACGTCCAGCTCCTCTTGGCTAGTGACTTGGTCCCCCCTACGTGGTGATGCTGTCACTGATGATATCTCCACCTTCCAATAACCCTGTGCAATGTGTACGTGTATGTGGTGCAGCTAAACAACAGGAACTGGCACTACGTAGTTCTCATTTCCTGCACACTTGGCCTTTGGTTTACAAACCCATCTGTCCAAGGCTGTCAGTTCCTCTCACCATTTCAGTGCTTCCACCTTGCTGTCTCTCGTGCATAGATAATCACCACTGCAAAGGTTGTCAAATATTGCTTTTCGATATCACTAAAAAACAATCATCCACGGCACATGCTGCATATCTGATCATCTTTCTGCACTCCTTGTCTTTCGCTTCATTTTTTGATGAACTCCACTGAAAATGAACTCTTAAATTTATCTCTTCCAGAGAGCAGTTATTCCACAATTCGATGTTCTCGTCTTGTACATATACACACTCTTATTCTTGATCAGGCAACAATCCTTACAATCAAACTGCTATATGTGTGCACACAACCCAACAACACATGGAAGAACTCGCCTGACGTGTATCTACCCTCTGTGAATGCTGAAGTGGGAGTGACCTGCACAGAAGAGGAAAAGACAGCAATATATTATGCGTGAATGGACTCTTCCATTTTGATAGGAGGGGAGGCGGGAAATGGACAAATCCACCAAAGGGAGAGGGGATGATCACGAGTGCAGAGCATGGACAGGGTCCTTCCCATCCTCTGTGCTCTCAGGACACAGTTACATGGTAATTCTGTGTGGGTAAATCGTGTTAGCAGAGCCTCACCAGCACTAAAAGCCTAGTAAGTGACTTAGAGGGATTGGATTCCGGGTGGGATTATGGAATAGACCGAACTGCAGGGGCTAATTCCTAAAAGGAGACCGACAAATCATTTGTGACAGCCACTTAAAGAGTTCCTAAATGCTCTGTGATCTAAATTATGCTTTTGACACTCACTTTTACTGAAAACAATATGTGACACTTCTAACTGGAACACTGATTCAAACTTGAAATTCTGGGGCATTTTTGTGTAGGTACATGTACTTTCTTCCTCTGTGCAAAAGCCAATAGAACATTTTCACTTCTATTCTTTCCGAACTTTTTTTAGGTCATCAGGCAAAATATGAACAGTAAAACCTTTTCAAAAAGCCCCTTCGTAAATGTCCTGGGACCAGACGCTATTTGGGCTTATAAGCAAACAAACCTTTTACGTAAAATATTTGCATATTTTAAATCCCTGTCATTCAAAGTGGGATATGTACTGATAGTCCCTTAAAACAAACCTTGAACAGATAGTGTTATCAAAAGCATGAAAGCACAGTGACAAATGCGGCAAATGTAAGTTTTTCCCCCTTTAAGATGATATTCCCCCTTCTCACTTAACCCTGCATGTACATGTAACTGTTTTGAATTCTGACAAGAACTGGGCTCTTTCGCAGAACCTCACCATCAGCGGGAGGCAGAATCTGCCCCCTCCCCCCCCAAAAAAATGTGCCAGATCTCTTTGGAACTTGGCAAGCATACCTACATGTACATGTACACATATGAAGACACTCTTTAAATTTGTAAATGTGCACAGTCTATGAAGGTGCAACGCAATCTGACACACGGATTTGTTGTTATCTCCAAATGGAGTTCTGTCTCTTTTAGGGTCGAATCAATTTCCTTGTCCAGTGTTAAGCCCTCTTCCATAAAACCCAAGGTACCATACAGCATTCTCATACATTTCCTTGTGATGATGTAAATTCCCCGTACCTACACAATTGACAGAGCCCAACTTCCCTTTTGAGTTCAAACGCTTCGCTGGTTCGACAGATAATGCGTCACGGTTCAGTATCACTAAAAAAGGCTTCTAAAGAAGTTTTCTGGTCTTTCCACTTTTCCACCAGCACAAAGAACCTTTTGCTGTGGTCAGAGCCCAGACCTACATGTATATTAAATAACTTTGCCAAAGTTGGTACAGGTTCAATCAGCCTGGTGACAATAGATGATTCCTTATCAGTGCTGCTCTGCCAAAGTTTATTGGCCTCCACATGCACACCTACCGATTGTACTGGTATATACAGGTACATAAGATGCTAGATGAAGCAGAGATAACACCGAAAATTAACAGAGCTGTTTGGCGGCCAACTAGTCAAAAACAAGTTCCGCTGCTTTTTCTGTGACCGGCATACTATTTCTCTCTCTCTGCCATCAGGCTTGGCATGCACAATGTACACACAGGTCATGAAAATGACTGTGAAGCACACCCAATGACACAAGAATGAAATCAAAGTGGGCTACAAATTACAACACAAAGCAAGCCTGTTGGTTTGACTCCATTCCAGGCATACTGCAAACCACCCTAGACCTTACACAGGGCCCCGGGAGAGGTACTGGTACATGTACAGTACAACTATTGACCTATAGATACAGATTTTAAGACCACCAACAAAACTACAGTTCGGCATCGTAAAAACAGTCTGTTTATTGCCAGCATTTATGGCCAAAAATGACAGAACTTTACTAGTACTGGTAGCTATGTACCATGCTTGTGGGAGACAGCCAACCCAACAGAGCCTTGGTGGGGGTACGCCCTGCACCTGTCGAAACAGCATTTCTCTGGATGTTACATGTATCTTTCAACCCAGCAATCTGATCAAGAATTTTGATCCAGAGAACAACATCGGTGTTCATCTCCCAGAACTTGATCAGCAATTTGGAGAGCTGTTTTTCAGTCACATTAATTTGGTCCTTCCCGAACAGAGAGAAATCAGGATGAAGACTCCAGGAAGGTGCAGAAAATAAACGGAAGCACTGCACAAAATCAAATTAGCACAAGTGGAACAAATGCTGACAAACTGCAACTTTCCAGCAACACCAGGTCCAGAACCTCCATGTGGCTCTCATAAAGTATATCAATAATCATTCCCCGTAATCTGTATCCTCTAAAAATAGGACTAAATTAGAATCAACCATACAAATGGACCCCAAATCCCTACAAAAAAAACAAACAACCAAACAAAAAACTGCATGTGCCTACATGTACCAGTACATGTACATATAATTTTTGTCAACAAACCATTGCGAGCTTTCTGAAAACCCCCAAACTATTGAAAAACAAAGGCTTCCAGCGATGCTGTGCACACTTTGAAGCTATATGTGCATGTACCGGTGCATGTGGGTATGATATACAATGTAGGACTTATATGTGTGCGAAGCCTGGCCTCTCCAAGCAGGGAAAGTGACGAGACTGCTCAAAATTGTTGACCCAACTTTGCCAAATTTCTGACTAGCTGTTCGGTCCAATATGCAAGGCTGTAAGCTACGGTAGTCCTTGACCATTTCATGGGATCACATTGAAGTTAATGCACTCGGACTCATGTCAGTGTCCTCATCCAAGCTGGTAAAAGCTCCATAACCAGACCAATGATTCAACTGAAAAATTCAACAGATTAAAAAAAAGGGCAGATACCGATAAATGCACGGTTTCTGCTCTTACGCACCATAAATCCACTGACCTAATGCGATCCATGATAAAGTTACACAAGACTGCCTAATGTGGCAGTTGTGTCGGCGACTTGAGATGTCCCGTTGGCCGTACACAGAATATGGGAACTACAAGTACACCAGCCTGCACTCATGGCTTTGTTTGGGAGTGACTGTGTCGACTCTTTCACAAATTAAAGCCAGGGAAAATCCCTTTCATTTCCTTTTCAAGACAAACCACTGATAATCCATCCAAAAAAATGCAGAAAAAGGATGCGGCATTGAAACCCTTCTCCATGTACATGTACCTAATACATGAATTAGAAAACTTCCTCGTGGAGCCCGTTCATGCACTGCTGACTCACGTGCCAAACGGCAATAAAAAATGCTCGAAAACATTTCAGCAGATTCATTTCCTTTTCGGAAGGACTGATAACACACATACAAGAGGATCTGGAGTGTAATGCGAAAGCTTCACTTGGCAAATCACCATCCCTTTCAAAAACTCAGTTCTCGTGATCCTACCCATATTCTCCATGTGTACATGTACATGCGTACAGAATATATGCATGTACATGTACATGTACATAGGCCTACACATGTACAGTAACATACTTTCCTTCAAGTTGTCCCCCTTGGCAGAGTGTGAGGAACAACTGCCCTCACACTGAGGGGTGGGCAGTGGAATCAATTTGTCTCTGTCCTTCCCCACAAAGCCCTCCCTGGGAAACATGTGGGCTGGCCAGCTGACATCTAACAGACCCTATACTGGACAACACCCAGCCCAAGAATTCAACTCCCACCAGGGCTGTCAATTTGTAAACACTTGCTGTGTATTTTCACAACACAACTAAACAAACCCACAGCACTGTTTTTACATGTAGGGGTGAGTTGTTTGGCTGATCATTTTGGCATCATAGGACCCTGCTATAAAAATATTCCTGCTTCTCTTTTCGGTAACTTTCTCAACAGAACTACAGTATTTCTTCCCAGTCTCTGCCAATAAGCTGCAGTCATTAATTCCAGTTCTGTGGGCATGTGCTGTACATACCTGCATGGTTTGTTTTCTTCCTGTATCTCCAACTTCGGAAAAACTAAATGGCCACAAAAAATAAGCACTGGAATTGTACAAATTATAATTACTTGTAGGAAATACTTGGGGGCAAGAACAGTGCATTCACAATACGTGGGCTTCAACTTTGATGGAGCAAAGTAGTTTGTCATGTGCCTGGCAAAAGGTCGTAAGTGCGCTTATGCCCTTTTGCAGGAGGCATGATCACAGGAGAAAATGACGTTCCCAGCAAAAAGGGGTAAGAACCACACTATCTTTATTTAGTAAAAATGGATAAAATTTACTACATAATCAACACATGCTGTACAAAAAGCAACCTTTGAACAACCTAATCAATGACTGAGGAATTTTTTTTTTTACTTTTTACAAAGAAATTTTTATATTTTCATTAAAATAAAACAGTTGCATAAATACGTCCGTTTGCTAGGAAAAGTTTTTTTTTGCAGTGATCATGCTTCCCGGCAAAAGAGTGTAAGGGCTTCCCAGCATACGATGTTTCGCATGATGGATTTCCATATGTACAGTATGAGCAGAAAAAGCCCAATTGTTTGAAAGTAATCTTTCAACGAATACCAAATTTTTCTAAGGGCAGTAGAAAGAAAAGATACCACAGCTGAATGAACTGCGTGGGAAGATTTGAAGGTGATTTCTGATGTCATCCAATGTAATGTGGTCAGTGTAATGGGGGAGGGGATGTTAAGTTATTAGCCTTTATCTGGCACTCCAGGAAATTAAGAGAGACTGCCCAGGACTGACTTTCCCTACAGCGCTGCCTCCCGGCAAGCAGCTTGCCCGCCTGCCATTTGCAGTGTGAGAAATTCATTTCGTGGCAAGGCCACAAAACACCCAGAGACCAGATTGAAATCTGAGGACCTGGTCATCAACTGCCAAGCCATGTATCTACCAGGCGCAGCTGTAACTATGGCAATCGATAGAAAAACAACAGGCTCAGAGCTGGAAGATTCAATCAGAGGGACAAGGCAGATGCCCAGCTTAGGATATCAAGGGCAGTTCCTAGAAGTATCTGGTGCAAA